CTGAGCAGTCTGTGGGTGCGTTACACTGTCCCCGTACAGCAACACCAGGGGACTGTGAGGAATAAAGACACTGGGCTGCATCAGGCTTGGAGCCAGGTTAGCTTGTGGTCCTGTGAAAGAGTAAAACTGCAAGAGATCAGAGTGACCGCGCGGGAGTGCGGCTTTCCACGGGGGATTTTCCCAGGTTACAGCTGACTGAGTGATTTTGTTCCTGATGACGCTCTGCATAGGTCCTGTTGCTAGGGTTGCTCTCAGGTTGCACAGCACGGGATAATGCTCGTGGCGGCAACAGAGTCTCTAAATACTTCATGTTTTAATTGTTGTCTTATCCCATGGGTCTCTCCAGGGCTCTTTGTGCTTTTTGGTTCAGTGTTTTGGCGGGTTTTTTCAATAAAAAGACTCGCTTAAAGCAATTTAAGTTGGTGGGAGTACTGGACGGAAGGGATTCTTTCTAATGCAGAGGATTAATTCCTTTTACTTTGGTCAGACTGGTGATAGGTGGAAATCAGATGGTGCTGGACCATTATTTTGTTAATTATTAGGGTGTCATTTGTATAACTGTTTCAGTAATCCACTGCAGACTGCTTGTGTGTATCTTCAGTGTATTATTAGAGGTTTTTACATTTCTCTGGGAGACTGTCCCTGTTCCTTCTTTTCTTCCTGCCCAAGACCATCCCCAAAGGCCCATAACTGCCTGATAAAAGGGTAACATGGCTGCAGGATGTTAACTGGAGTCTGGTTCCCGTTCATCACCTTGCTCACGGCTCTCCAGGCTGGCGTTTTCGGAAAGCTGTGCTTTGCCATGGCTGAGAAAAGCCCTTTCCATTCAGCACCTCGTGGGTCCGTGCTTTGTGAGGACTAACAGAATTGGGATGAGTTTTGGAGGAAGGGAGGCAGACTGGTTCCTAACTGCTTTGGAGGTCCCACCTAAAATGAGCTTTGTGTGATCATGTTCATGTTCAGGCGGCTCGTTCTCATGCTGGGACTTTTTTGGGGGGGGGTTGTTTCAATCTTTTCTAGAGATCCAAAGATTTCCCACCTGCTTCTTCAGGCTCAATACCCAGTGGTTGCTGTGGACAGCTACATGCCTGTGATCGATGTGTTTACCGGCAGCAGAAGGGGAAGCCTGAGGGTCGTTCTGGCCATGGGGTCAGCTGATCAGATCGTGGCGCTGCAGAGGCTGAAAAGGGAAGAAGGAATGGTGCCTCCCGTCACACAGCGCCCTTCCCACTTCTTGGACCCTCCTCCTGCAAAGCCCATAATGGTATCATTCCATAAATCCCCGCTCTTGTCGTTAGGGACACGTGGAAAGAAGTTCACCAGGGGGTTCATTATTTCCACTTCTTTCTTACCCACTTTCCCTCACCAGTTGTGACGTTACCACCTTTTTTTACTGCCCTGCGTATCCACTGCTTCAGTCTACATGGCAAGTGCAGTAAAAAGAATATAAATTCTAGAAAATCTTAACTCCGACGGCCTGATCCTGTACCACACTGTTATCTTTGAGCTGGCTGGGTAGGAGCTTTCCTGCTTTTTATGTGCTGTGGTGTTTGGCTTTTGCAGAAGAGGAAAAATGGCTATCAGGCTTTTGATGTTTCTGTGAACTTCAGGGAGAAAATAGCAGGTAGTGATTCTGAGCCCCCTGTCTCAGGCTTCTTAGAAACTCGTGTTCCCAGTCCTCTTGTATGCTGTTTCCTAAAAAGTCGTCCTTTTCACGTGGATTTCCTTTGTTTTATTAGCAGTTAGACCAAGAAGGGGAAGACCTGATAGTGCATGTGTTTGAGATCCGTGTGGAGAGCGTGAAAGGACTCACTCCCTTACAGTCCACCGTCTGGGGGGAGGCCGACTGCTACGTCCAGTACAGCTTCCCCGTTCAAGAGCCTGGTGGTGGCGCCCTGCAAGGAACTGAATTGCATCAGGCTGGTGAGTTCCTTTTAGGATACGGCCTTATTTAGAGCATTGCTGTCGTTAAATGTTGTTTATTAATGTTCTCTTTGCTTAAGTGAGAGGGTTTGTGTGTCTCTGAGCTTCCGCAGCGCAGCCAACGCTTGCTTTCCTCAGGAGATCTGCGTTCAGCTGTGCTCGGGCTGCGTCAGTGCATGAAAAGCCTTGGCTGGGGTGGGTGGCAGAGGTCCTAGTGGCAAAAGATACCTGTGTATCTGCAGGGCAAGGGTTTGGCAGCGGGGGGGTTACAG